CGCCCACGCACTCATACGGTGAGTGACCCATTGCATTGCTGTGTGTGTGGGGGCCGGTCTGGTCTGTGTGCACCCACATACCACCCACAAGCCAGCGGCAGGGGGGATGAGCTCCGCGCCGCGCCGCGGTTGTCGCGTTTGCACATAGATCGACACAGATCCACACAAACACACACACACACACACACAGAGGACACACAGACTGAGGCAGGAAACTAGACTAGACTAGACTGGCACTAGAGCTTCAAGGCCAAAACCACTAGAAGAGCTTATCCAGGGCAGCGATGTAGCTGTCGGTGGCCTCGTGGTCGTCCATCAGACCTACGCTCACACACACACACACACACACAAGCCACAACGCATCCACTCCCCCATCACAGTAGCTATGAAGCCATTCACACACACATACGCCCTCACCCACTCACTCACCGTGGTGGCTGACGTATCCATCAGGTCGAATAGAGACGAATGCCCCAGAATGGTCGAACGGGTCCAGCTGCGTCGCCAGCTTGTAGTTCTTGACCACTTCGCCGTCCACATCCCAGGCGATCAGCAGGTCCTCGCGAGACAAACCAATGCTGACCCGACAGACACACAGGCACCCACCCATACACAAACACGGAGCCTTGTGTATGCCCTCCCTCAGCCCCCATCCCACCGAACCTTCTTGCAAAGTGTTGGTGCACGTTCTGCAGCATGTGCAGCAGGGAGCCGCCCTCCATGCCGTCCTTGCGTCGCGTGACGCTCGGGACGATGCTGGCTTTGCCTGCCGTAAAAATCAGCAGCAGCCGGGTGCCGGTGTGGGGCGAACGAGAGGGCACCCCGGTGCGCCGAGACACGTCGGCAGACAGATGCACGGCACTCTCCAACGCTCGGGCAACTGACAGACAGACACAGACAGACAGACAGACATGGGGAAAAGATCTCTCTCTGTGTGTGTCTCTGTGTGTTGGCGTCATGTGTGTGTGTGTCAACGTATGCCATGCCTACCTCCTGGGTCCTTCCTAGCCTGGTGTGCGCCGAGCATCTCGCCGAGCCAGCCGATGAAGCCCTTCTGCTCCGACTCGCCCGTCATGGGCACTCGGACCAGCAGCAGTAGAGAGCTGTGTGGCGTGGCCAGCAGCTGGTGCAGACGGACGAACTCGGTGCCGCGCTTCTCGTTGATCTGACACAGACACACACACAGGGCATGCAGCAAGACATACACAGGGAGGTGTTGTGTGTTGTGTGTACCATCCCCAGGTAGGCATCAGGTGCCCTCTGGCCGGGCTGAATGGCCCCGGGGATGTGCGAGCGACCAACGAGGGTCTCGTCGAGCTGCAGACAGAGAGAGAAAGACACGGAGGGAGAGAGATAGACACAGCCGACTGGAGTGTGCGTGTGTGGTGTTGTTTGTCTGACGGAGGGTGGGTATCTGATGCTGGTCATGCTCATGGAGTGTGAGAGTGCTCGGTTGACGGCGTTGATTGAGAAGACCATGGGCAGGACGTTCTTCATGGACCACTTGACCCACCCCTTGGCCTCGATCAGCTCCTTGTACCCGACAGACGTGTAGTACACTATCGACTCTGACACACACACACACACACACACACGCACACACTCAAAGCGCATGTAGGACACCTCTCTCTCTCTCTCTCTCTGTGTGTGTGTGTGTGTGTGATCCATACCTCCGACAGGTCTTCTTTCCTGGTCGTATGTGTCGAGTAGTGAGCTCATGGCGCCCCCATTGACCACGAGAGCAAGCTTCCAACCTGCAGCGCATGCAGTGCACACACACACACACATACGCACACACACACACACTCACATGGGGCACAAATGGATGGGTCGGTCCATTTGATGCGTGCCGTGCCGACCGAGATTGTGTGCGTCTTGGATGCCCACGTTCATGCCCTGATGCCCCAGCCTGCGCCAATGGACAGACAGACAGCACAGGACTTGTGTGTGTGTGTGTGTGTGTGTTGCGTCTGCTATATGTGTCTTACGGAGGGTGGATGTGTGCAGCGTCGCCAGCGATGAATGCGTTATGGTGCTTGAAGGCCGCGGCGCATCGACTGTTGATCGAGTAGCAGCTGCCCCACAGCACCTCATCAATCAGGCTCCCAGGCACAACCTGACACACACAACACAACACATGAGCAGAGCATGGGTGTGTTGAATGAACCCTTTCTGTGTGTCCATTCTTCCCTCCCTCCCTCCCTCCCTGCCTGACAAACCTTCTGCACGAGTGTCTGCAGCTCCTCGCGTGTGGGTGCCTTGGTGTAGTAGCTGGGGTCGAGCACGATCTCGCCGTCGCTCACGCCCGTGCGGCGGATTGTGATCAGACGCCAACTGCACACACACAACCACACACGGCACACCCATCTCTCCATCCATTCGTCCACACACACACACATACCGGTTCTTGGTGAGTGGCAGGCAGCATATCCTGGAAGCAGGCACACACAAGGACAGGCGCATTGCATTCCACACGCACAAGGACAAGAGAGGGTCTGTAAGGCTCTGTGGGGGGGGGCACATACATGCGTCCGTTAGCGCTCATGAGGTTGAACTTGTTGACTTCGTTTGGGACGCCCCACTTGATGCGAACGTCCGCCACGATGAACTCGTTGGGCAAGGTGGAGCCGGGGAAGGGAATCCCGCACGCCTTGCGCACTATCGAACGCGCACCGTCACAACCCACGATGTATCGGCCTGAGTGGAGAGACAGAGAGAGAGACAGAGACAGAGAGAGAGAGAGAGCACAACATCTTTCTGTTTATCCACGTGTGTGTTGGGCTGTCTTCCGATGAGGTAATGGGCACACTAATCGGACGCACCTCTGATGGTCTTTGAGGGTGGGACGAACTCTTCAGGCGGGACGTGCGTCTCCACCTGGTCGTCATCGACCTCTTTGGTGCCGGGGAGGGCCTCAACCATCACTGACACACCCTGCAGCAAACGCAGCACACACAGCCACCACGGACGGACAGCTGGATGGATGGACGGGCAGACCGAGACCTCCCTCCCTCCCTCCCTCCATTTTGCCCACCTACCTCATCAGGCAGCCGCCCGATGTGTATCTTCTTGACCTCCACGGGGCGCTTGATGCAGTCCTTCCCGCCGAGTTCCAGCAGCCGCGTGAAGAGGATCCTTTCGGTCTCGGACTGCTCGAGAATGAGGGGGTAGGCATAGGGGCTGTCGCACTTGTCAAAGTCCCAATCGACTGAGCGTTTTTGACAAGTGCGACAGTCCGGATCCATAGCAATCAGTGTGTTGGCTTGGGTTGGCTTGTGCCTGTGCCTGTCTGTGTGGTAGGTAGCTCTTGCCTGCGACGGCTCCGTCGACGAAGAGCCTCTCCCCATGCATCTGCACGCCGTTGGCAAGGGCCTCCTCGACGACACCCAGATCTGAACATATATGCTCACACAGCACAGCGGCTGCCTGCACTGCACTTGCAGTGTAAGTATTGCTTGCTGGTCTGTGGCACTAGCTAACCTTCAAAGATCTCTATGGAGCGAGCCTGCACGCCGAGTGCTCGTGAAGAGGTCACGCAGTACTCCTCCCGATCCAGCAACAAGTAGTCCACACTGCAGCAAGCAGCAAAGGCATTGACGATGTTTGATGATCATCCTCCATGTGCAGCGCAGCGCCAGGCATCTTGCCTACTTCCTTCGCTGCAGCTCACAAGCAAGAACCAGGCCAGTGGGCCCCGCACCCACTATTATCACATCAGCCCAGGCCGGGAGGCCTGCAGACACACACAGATGGAAGATAAGCACCGTTAATCAGTTCTGCTGGTTCTGTGCTCACCGTCCATCGTGATCTCTCTGGTTCGGTGTCGATGTGATGGAGACTGGCAGATCTGAGCAGAGGCGAGGCGACTACTGCATGGGTGGACCAGCTTACACTACAAACGCTTCAGAAAAGACCGCTTTCCCTTCGGTCACAACAGCGAGCTCAGGCTCGCGCCGTTTTTCTCTTCCGGAATCCCTCTTGGGATGGCTGCCGATGGTGTATAAGGGCTTCTTCAGCTTCAGCTGCCTCTTTCTGGCCTCCTGGACCCTTATCAAGATCAACTTCTCGCGAGAGCAGCCCCTTACAGGCGGGGCTGAGACCCCGCCAACACCACCCACAGGTGGCGATAGAGATGGCCGGCCGGGCGAGATGGTCACACTGGAGATGGACGCCATGGGCTCACACGAGCGGCGGCTCTCCCTGTCGGTGTCTGAGAAGGCCACTCTCTATGTCAACCGGGACGGTAGGGGGAGGGACGTGCTGGCCTTGAGTGACAGCACCAGCGTGACGATGCCCAGCCGGCGGGAGATGGAGGCCATCTACCTTACCAGATGGACCGACGGCACCCACATTGACACTGTGCGGCTGAGCCCCTCCCTCCCTGAGGCTCTGGCCATGGTCGACACACACTGCCTGGACAGGTGCGTCCACCCGACCAGCACGGCCGTCACCACACAGAGGTGCCTCGGTGTGACGTTCGGCAGGGAGGGGGCGGAGCCTAGGTCGATGGACGATGATTTATCGACCAACAGCAGCAGCAGCAGCAGCAGTAGCAGCAGCAGTGACAGTGACAGTGGTGGTGTTGGTGGTGGTGTGTATTCGTGTGAGCTGAGGGGTGTGAGTATGTTCGGCTTCGAAGGCCTGCGTGACGACGACGCGGGGAATTTTGAGGACTGCCGTGAGCTGGAGTACTGCTTCACATACCTGCACAGGTCAGTGAGTGAGGGAGTGAGGCCAGGTGCCTGACGCACACACTCATTTTCTGATGTTATGTGTTGCTGTGCTGTGTGTTTGTGTCACTCACTTTGTCTGTGGTCAGGTCGCTGATCAGCAGCACGATGCCCGCCTTCAGGCGGCCGTCCTTGTGGCTTTTATGGCTCTCTGTTCTCACAATCGCAGTGCCGTGCCTTATAGCATGACACACGTGGCGTGGGCGTGGGGGGTGGGGGAAATACTGGGCTGATGGATTGGATGTGCTGTCGAAGGACAGACAGACAGGGAGGGGGAGGGAGAGAGAGAGAGAGAGAGAGAGGGAGGGAGGGAAAAGGGGCGGTTTTGTCAGGGTCATTCACACGGTGGTTGGTTGGTTGGTTGGTTGGGAGTCAGACCCTTTTATGTGAGTATGACACTGACTGACATGGATCGCAGCACGACATGGGGTTGGTATAGACGGATTGATTTGTGGCTTGGCTGAGCGAGCGAGTGTACAGACAGATGTGGTCGCGGTCCTGCCTGGCTGATGTCGTCTGCGTGTGCTGCGTGCCTCCCTGATGCGATACGTCCTTGATGTGTGTGGATGCTGCTGCTGCTGCTGCTGATTCCTTTTGTTGTTCATAATTCACACGAGTGATCGATCCTTTGTAGTCGACTTGGCTGCTGCAGGGGGCCGGGGCGTTTTGCAGACCTCTGCGTGTGTGCGTGTGCGCGTGAGTGGTGTGTGTGTGTGTGCGTGTGTGTGTGCGGTGTAAGCACTCTCCGACCCGGCGCCTGCCTGCGTGTGGCGTGCGGGTGTTTTGTGGATGGCATACATACTACGTGGTTGATGGATTGTATGATGTCTGCGCGTATAGACCTACCTGTCTAGACTCTGCTTGCCTTCTTCGCGACATTCTGAATGCACTTATCCCCATCGCCAAGACGAACGAACCAACAGCCTCACATAAAGAGGGCTCGCGCAGAAACAAGCGCTCACACACAGAAAGTCAGTCGCCTGTACCTACCCTCAGTCCATGTCGCACCACCCAACACACGCACACATCACATCAGCTAAGCAAGCAGAGGGCGACTGCGAATGCGATTGCTCATTAGCTACGACGTTCGTTGGTTCACTTGAGATATTTCTGGAACCACTCGAATGTGCGCGTGAAGGCCAGGTCGACCACCTCCTGCCGATGCTCTGAGAAGGTCGACAAGGAGAGCAAGACAAACAGCAACAAAGGCCTCGGGTCGGTCAATCGGCTGATTGATTGATGTGCAGGTGTGATCGGCTGACTGACCTCCGAAGCCGAGCTTCGTCTTCTTCTCCTGCCATTCCGGCACCATACCTTCAACACATACACACGCACACACACACACTCACATACACGCCGGCCACGCCAGGGACTATCGATTCGGTCAACCACCATGTCTGAGTCTCTCGCGCCCACCGTTCATAAAGGCGTGGCCGACGCCCTTGTACCTGTCAGTCAGAGAAACAGAGAACGAGACGACGGCAGCAGGCCACGCACCATGACACAATCACTCAATGGGAGGGAGCAAGCATGTGTTGTGTGTGTGAGCTCACGTGTGCAGCTGGAAGTCGGCGCACTGACCCTTGCCCATGGCAGCCTTGAAGGCCTCGACCGCCGTGGGGTCAGAGAAGCCCACCAGCTTGTCATCCTCGCCGAAATGCGCTTGCACGGGACAAGTGATCTGTCACATCGAGTGGACCAAACACGCGTTGATCTCGATCCATCCTCGACGCCGACCGAGCGAGGACACGTGGCTCTGTGTGTGTGTGTGTGTGGTGTGTGCCTGCGATGGGTCGAAGAATTTGGCGTCAGGGATACCGTAGAAGGGGACCGCTGCACACAAACACACACACAGATGGAGCTCATGGGGTTGGTGCTTGTGGCTGGGGTGAGGCTTGTGTGCCTACCTACCGCAGCTGATGTCGCTGGAGTGTTTCACCGCTGTGGCAATCGTCAACGCCCCACCCATACAGAAGCCTGTCACACCGACCTGCACACACACACAGACAGACAGACAGAGATACACACATACAGACACGCCGCTGTCAGTCACCACCGTATGTGTGGTTTGGATGGATCGCATGGGATGGGTGTGGTGTGAACCTTTTTTGATCCTTCTTGTTTGATATAGTCGACGGAGGCCTTGATCTCCGACACGGCCTGGGGGAAGTCCAGGTTGCTCATGAGGTGCTGCGCCTCCTCGGCATCCACACCCAGCTTCCCCTTGTACCTGACACACATGGATGAATGACACAATCACGTGACCCAACCAACAGACAGACATTCACAGATGCGGTGCGGCTGAGCCATGAAGAGCCGATGGATGTGTTGTCCGTTTGTCTGATAGTCTGTCTTACAGGTCGGGAACGAGGCAGCTGTAGCCCTGCTTGGCAATGTGCTCCGCCTGCCTCTGCAACAACACACCAACACCAACACCAACAGCACGGAATGAGTCACCCCACCTCTCTGTCCGCTCACTCATTTGCCACACCGCCCGTGGCCAAGCGAACCTGTATCTCATCTGTGACGCCCCACCACTCCTGCAGCACTATGACGCCAGGGCTCGCCTTAGCCCCGCACATGTAGCCCGTGATGCCGTTGAACACCACCTTCTCAAAACCTGCACACACACGGCACGGCACACATATGACATACATCATGACAAGAGATCAGTCAAGCGTGTGCCTGTCTGTTCGGGTGGTGATCGACACTGACCCTCGAGCACTTTGATGACGCCCGACATGCTTGCGGATCGGATGAATGAGCGACGAATGAATCACGCTACACACAAGGCCTGCGCAAACAGATCATGAGACTCATTGTTGCCGTGCATAGGTCTTGGTCCACCTGAACGGTCTGTTGTATGCTGCCTTCTGCACTCACCTTCTGCCCTCGAGACTCCTCTCGAATTTGCAGCACGAGCTCGCAGCGATCGCAACCTCGAGGGAGGCGGTTGGTCGCTGAGCCGCAGCGACCAGCAATAGAACACTCAGTGACAAAGCCCTGGGTGGAGTCAGAACGGCAGGCAGGCAGATCAGGCGAGGAAACAACAACAACCAAAAACACATGCCCTCTGTGTGTGGCCTCCGTGTCAGATTTGATGACGGTGTGAGTGAGAGGTTTTGTAGCTGTGGTCCATGCAGCACGCCGAGCAGCACCACCAGCAGCAGCAGCAGCAGCACTCCGTGTGGTACGTGTGTGCCCACCGCGGCAGCGATTTTCCGCTGCAGGATGTGCTGCGTCTGAGGAAGACCTGCAAATGGTCCAGAGCTCTCTTCGGAGCGGATCAGCTGCGGCATCTGCTCAGCCAATGGACAACAGACGATGAGCTCAGCACACAGGCGGGGCTGCGGTGGACGGCCAACGGACAGCAGCTGCTGACCTTCGACGAGCAGCAGATGGGTGTGGGTGACCTGCTGGCGGCGCTGTGTGTGACGGAGATGGGCGGCTGGAGTGAGATGAGCGAGGCGATCGAGCTGGCGGGGCAGTGCGGCAACTGCCAGCTGCCTGTGCGGCTCACTTCGGCTGATCTGCACCAATACCCAAACAAGACGGTAAGCCAACCGAGGGAGGGAGGGAGAAAGGATGGCTCTCAATGGGTGTGTGGTGTGGTGTGTTGATGTGTTGTGTGTGCAGGCGTATTTGGCCGCTCCCCGTGTGTTGGCTCAGCTCAAGATGGTCGGCCCCCACATCGACTTCGGCAACGGCGTGACCTTTCAGCTGTTCCAGTACGGCAACACACTGCGGGCCATCCAGGACCAGGCTGGCTTCGAGATCGACATCAACCCGCCCCTCCCTCCCAACCACCCCTACCAGCAGCACCGACAGCCACATGACCCGCCAGTCCGCAGCAGAATCGCACATGCCCCGGCCCTGGGCTGGCAGCTGACTTGGGGCGCTCGAGACTACGCATCTGTGTCGTCGTTCGTCAAGAGGATCGTCCTCGACCACTTCAGCGGCACCCACCAGATCAACAGCACTTACCGTATGATCAACAGGTGAGGCGGGGCATCACTCTGTGTGGGAATGGTCAGGACACACGAGTGACTGATGAATGTGTGTGCCTTTATTGGTCAGGCACGTCGACAACAACCGGCTCCAGACCATCGTGACACAGTCCCCACACACTAGTGGAGGGATGCATCACGACATCAACCCGCTTCGCTGCCGGCTACACTTCGCGTCGTCTCATCCTGACGGGCACCGGCCATCCCTTCGTCGCGTGGATCACCGTCGAGGATCTCCCCTACAATGAAGGTCACCCCAGCACAGCACAGCACAGCACAGCACAGCACAGCGAGGGAGATACAATGGAGTACTCACTCTCATCTGCTGTGCTCTCTTGTCATCCATTTGCAGTGGGTGTGCTCATCTACACGACCGAGTCGGCTGTGTTTGGCGTGGGCGATGCCTTCAAGAACCGCTTCCCAGTGACTTATCGGCTGGCGCGTGCGGTGCTGGGGGACGTCATCTCAGCCATGTTCTTCGGCCCATAGACAGCTGAGGTATGTGTGCATCAAACACGACTGACACGAGCAGAAGATGCGCTCACGACGTACACAATGCTGTCTGTCTTTCCATGTGTGTGTCAGGCTGGGCGGTGGTGTTGGTGACAGTGTGAGGGGCACTGCCGGTCACATAGACGGCTGCAATGGTGCGCGTGGGGTTTTCCGATCGGTCGGTCTCTGTCGATCTGCCTGATGGACACGTCACTATACATATGCATACATTTATCATTGTCTGGCTGCCGTGTCTGTCTGTCTGTTTTGCCTCTCTCTCCCCATCTGACTGACTGACTGACTGACTACACCGATCGGCCGGACGGTCGGTGGTTTTCTTGGTGTTTGCTGCACATGGTGGCTGACGGCTGACATCTGTCTCTCTCTCTCTGTGTATGTGCACACAGACAGGCCGACCGATGCACCACACCCGGTGTGTGTCCATTCATCCATCCATCTGTGACCCATTGCTTGCTCCACACACACATTCACCCAGACACGGCGGTGTGTGTTTCACACTCGTTGCCCATACACATCCACACATTACAGCAGACAGACAGACAGACACAGACAGACGGACGGACGGACCGACTGACAGATGGCCCCTTTTTTTCATCTGTCTTGACGCGAGGCTGATCGTAGGGCGCTTTTCCTTACGGCAACCGCTACCGTTTCGACCGCCTCGGAATGCGTGACGTAATGAATTTGTATGCGCGCAGGCTATGCTGTGTTTTTGATATATCCGGCTTTCTGTATCTGTCTTGTTTCTTCCTGGGTTGTATACGCACGGCGGGGAGGAGTGAGAGAATACAAACAAAACGCTAAGCGGGTCTCGCCTTACCTTGCCCTACTACTGCATCATAGTATTCATCCATACGATTCGTCCTTTTGTCTTCGCCGCGGTGGATGTAATGGACGAGACAAGACGAGACGCCCTTTTTTCTTTTTTGGACGAGGCTGGACAGCCGTGTGGCGTGCTCTGCTGTGTTGTATTGTAGCTTGTCGTGAGGCTGGCTATCGGAAAACCAATGCCTGCATTCAGCCTAGCGCACACACAACGCTAGGGTCCCCTCTCTCTATATATATATCTTTCTTTCTCCCTCCCTTTCCCTGAATCAATCGAAGTGACTGCATAGTTGTGTGCGATACGTAGCCATCTTGCTGGGCCTTCTCTCTCCTCCCACCTGTCTACAAAGTACGTACACACGTACCCCAGGCTCCCATGCATGTTTTGCCTTTTCGTGGTGATTGGGGCCCCCCTTTTTGACGACATTTCGTGCTATGACATGACGCGAGGCAGAATTATGGGTCGCTTTTCCTGACGCGATCGCCTCGAAATGTATTTGTTACTCTGAGGATCGGGTGCGTGCATGTGTTGAGAACACATCGAGGCCCTCCTCTTTGCATGTGCGTACAATGGGATGAATGCATGTGTGTGTGAGCCATCAGACAGGTATCAAGACGCTCCACCTGACGTGAATCAATCAAAACCCATGACTTAATATGCACAAGGACACATGTCAACTATGCATTCGCAGCTGGTGCCATTCACGTCACGTCACGTCGCGTTGTGGTCTGCATCTCTCACAAACCCTTAAATGTTAACATACACATCAATCTCGCAAGGCTTGCGCCTCTTTCTTGTCATCGTCAATGACTCCCTTGGCAACAAGTGCCACTGTGATGTACTGGAACTCAAAATCAGCAGTGCCCTCGTTCCCTGCGTATTTGGTAATCAGCCGTCTGGTTACTAGGTTGTAGCCGAGTGCCGAACGAGTGCCAGGGATCCTGCATTCCCCTGCAGGGCGGAGCTGATACACATGGCTTCGTTCGGGGCCCCAGTTCAGGTAATTCATGAGTTGCAGCGGACTGTAGACATCGTCAAACCAACAATCCGATCTCGCTGTGTCCCACACCTCCAGGGAGCGAGGGTCAAGCAGCAAACGCCCCAGTGCCTCGAGGTCATCGTCTCCTCCTAATTGATAGGAGAGAGCCGGTAAGTTCTTAGCCAGCTCGCTCTCCATTCGCTCCTTCTCTTCTCGTTCCTTTGCCCTCTCCTCCTTCGGCTTATGCCGCCAGCCGAGCCACTTGCGGCCTGGTCCCGTTTCGTAAAATGCTGCGATCTTCTTCATCTCTCCTGCATATTTCTCATCAACGAGGTTCATTTTGGGGTCGTCGTCGAACCACTGGTATGCGCACAATAGGCGGATGTCGCAGTCGAAGTGTGTGGAGAGCAGCTGGTAGAGGGCGCTGTCGATGCCTTTGAGGTGAGCTGGCGTCATGCTCGATAGAGTGTACTCGTGCTGCAGCTGAAACACCCACGACTCGTTGGCCTTGAGAGAAGAGACACATACACAATCGCAATGTGTAGACGGACGATCGACCGTCCGTCTCTATGTACCTGGGGAGAGTTGAAGTGTTCTTTCATGCCATCCACCAGCCGCTGCAATGGGGGCGCCAGCAGGCCGTCCTTCTTGAACCTCTCCCCAGTCTCGTGACGGCGCAGGTTGTAGGCGAGCGCAAGGCGATATCCCGACACAACCGGCTTGACGCTGTGGACAATGTCGGAGTAGAAAGCGATCCATCGAACTTGCTGGTGCCCCAGGGCGTCTTGCGTCTCCTTGTTGAATCTGTCGCCATCGAAGTCCCCATCGTCGTGCAGCAGAAAGTCACCTCCAGTATACTCGGTGGGCAGGAAGACGAGGAGCGAGGCGAAGTGGTCGTTCGGGCGCTGCGTGTCCTTGTGCACTTCGAAGAAGTCTCCCTCGCCATAGAGCAACATCTTGTACCAATCCGCTTGCACACGGCTGGTGGGCGACATCTGTTCCTCCACTTGTCGGCAGATGCCCTCGATCACCCTGGTCCAGTTGCCAGCCAGGCTCTTGAGCGACACGAGTCCCCCCGCCACCTCTCGTGACTTGCGTGCCTCGAGGTCCATCACCGTGTCCATGCCCTTGCCCACGGGAGACTGAGATAAATGGTCTTCATACAGCGCCTTCAGTGCAGACGTCTGCATGCAAGCAAACGCACAGACACGCAGCAATGCACACACGAGATGCTGTGTGTGTTGCCTATCATGCCGACCGAGAAAGGGGCGTCTGTCATCGAGTCACAGTTGGGTTCGAGCGTCCATGAGGGCCCGTGGATGGACGGCAGGAAGTCCAGGATGCCCGAGATGAATGGCTTGGGGCTCTCATGCTCCTTCAGATACCTCACAGCGTCGCCAACAGCCGTCCACGCCTCCTCCTTCGTCAGCTGCCTCATTGCCAGACCAGATTTGAGGCGAGGCCTCACGCGCGAGACTCCCTGCTTCGGTGAGGGGAAGCCTTGATGCTGAGGGAGCTTGTGCGACAGCCAGTGGGATGAGGGGATGAATGCGCCGTTGGTGTCGACGGCAAGACGAAGCGAAGTCAGGATGAAGATAACGAAGATCTGACTCATCATCGCGAGACGGTAAGATGAGCGCATCCACAGGACACCCCGACGGGGGATAGACGTGGACGCTTCGTTAAGAAGAGCCGCCGATCGCGAGCTTAGCTCGCAATAGGAGAGGGAAAAGGGGGGCGATTTCTGGGCGCTATTGTGTGAGACAGCGCATATCGATATCAGATCTCGCGATGGCGGCTGCCGAGAGCCGAGAAGTCCTTATTTAGCCCTTTCCCCGGTCGGCATGATAGGCAACACATACAAATCTCGTGTGCATTGCTGCGTGTCTGTGTGTTTCCTTGCATGCAGACGTCTGCACTGAAGGCGCTGTATGAAGACCATTTATCTCATTCTCCCGTGGGCAAGGGCATGGAAACTACACACAACGGGTTTTGGGACAACAACTCTGCTGGTGGATGATTGACGTGTTTCGCGTGGGCGCAGGTCTGAGGGGCAGCGACAAGGTGTGGGTGTCCGGTCTGAGTACGCCTGAGTACAACGGCATGTCGGGCACGGTGACCGACGCGGCACAACACCAAAACCACACGGTGAGGGAGGGGGGGAGGGAGGGAGTGAGGGAGGGAGGCGCGTACCTCTCACTCTCTGAGAGTCTCTCTCTCTCTCTCTCTCTGTGTGTGTGTGTGTGTGTGTGTATGAATGCAGCTACGGTGTGACGTTGTCTGTCATTGCCCGCAGCGCTCTCCTCCTGGCGACCGACCTTCCGATGAACGACGACACCATGCAGACCGTGATCAACCTGCTCGTTCCCTACATGCGCCACGCCTTTTCTCTTGGCTGACAGACAGACGTCTGAGGGCGGGATTGGGCATCGGGGGGAAAAGGAGGGAGGTCTTGCCTTGTCTTGTGGTGGTGGTGTGGTGGTTGAGCGAGGCCTCATTGCTGTATGTGGTGCTGTATCGTATTGTTCGTTGACGTGTCTGGGGCTCTCAGAACAAACGCCACACCAAGGTTCCTCTCTCGCTCTCCCTCTCTCTCTCTGTCTCTGTGTGCATCCACGTCCCTGTCTTGCCTTCCTTGCGTATAGCTACAGTTGTGTCTCATAGCTAACTAGTTGCGCCTTGTCTCTCATCTCACATTCATGCAGGTCTGTGCGTTTCGCCTTTTGTGGTGTGCTCGTCGGTGTGGTGCGTGCATGGCGCGCACATGCACTGGCGGTGCATCCATGTGATCGATGGACGACGGGCGTGATGGATGGGGATGGATCACCGCATGTCTGTACATGGGGCGGAAAGGTGTGCGGGCGGGGATGGATTCATGTGTGAGCCGAAAGACAGAGTGGCTGGACGAACCGCATTCGATGTGCGTGAATGGATGCACTCATCCGCAGCGGCATGGCCATATGCAGTGATCCGTAGCCGTCAGTGGAACATTCATGCATTGGTCCGGTCCCACGCGCGCATGCAGTGGGAGAAAAGAGGGAGAAACCGATAATAATACACAGACAGACAGATTGATTCGCTTCGCATACACCCATGTTTGTTTGTATACACAATTAAGCGCAAGTGACAAACTGAAGATATACACAAAATACATGCACACAATATTAATACGGAATCCAAAGAAACGAAGAGAGGAGGGAGAGAAAGCGAAGAGCGCCAGGCACGCACCACAGTGTATGTATCAGCATAGAAGAAAAAACACCCATGGCTGGCCTGCCTTGGCTCGACTGTCCACCTCTCTACTCTGCTCCCGCTCCCCTCAGCTGAGCTGCAGCTGCACCAGCACCCCGCAGTGATCCGAGATGAAGGGGCCACTGCCGTACAGCAAGCGGCCACTGCCCACCAGCTCCATCGACACGGGCTGCCACCGGCAGGCAGGTGCTGCCTGGCTCCGGTGTGTGATCAGCAGCCTGTCAAACCGGCGGGAAACGTGGCTGTCGCCGTGAGGTTTCCACGTGCCGCCACAGCCCTCGGGCCTGCCCAGCAGCTCCCACACGTCATGAATGTGAGGGGGCATGCTGCCTGCACACAAACACATACAGAGGCGAGAAAAAGGGAAACATGACGGGATATTTGGTATCTCCACGGCAGAAAAGAGTACCTGCACAATTCACCTCCCAGTCTCGCAGATTGAGGGCGCCTCCTACGATGACCGTACACACGTTGGGCGTGGCGGTGTCGTCCCGACACCTGCATGCAGCCCAGATCTGATGCACACTTCTGTGTGCTGCTCTGCGCTTCGTACCGGTCCATGAGTTCGACGGTCCTGTGCAGTTGGTCTACACGTTGATAGCTACTGTGCTTCAAGCTCTCCATGTGGCTCGTAGCCAGCTTCAACTGAAGAGAGAAGCAGGCAATCAAGCGATACCGCGGACATGGCATCCAGACATGTGCCCGGCTGACTGATACCTCCGCATGTGCTGCCGCGGCGGCTGTAGGGCGAGCACGGATGCTCAGCAAATGCCTGCATGACAGGACAGGAAGACACAGCAGGTGAGGTGCGTGCAGAATGACCCAACGAACATCGGTTCGCTGGGAGATGGCGGTTGGCACCCACCGCATGTTGCTGTTGGGGTACCACAAGGTCGACGGCTCGCTGCACGGCCGCGTGGACTGTTTGGCCAGCAGGATGGCACAAACATGAGGACACGACTTGCAAGGCGGCTGTTCGCTGAACCTGACGCAAGCAAACAAATGACAGTCAGACAGACAGGCAATGGTGAGTGTGTAAGCATCCATCCTGTCGCTCACAGTTGGTGTTTGGGTGTGATTATCTCATATGTGTATGACAGATGCTTGCGCAGGATGGTCTGCAGAACAACGCAAGTGCACTGTGAATGGGCACGCATGTATCTTGTCGCATGTATTGTGTTGTTATCGTGACAGGTCTACCGACCAGCGTTGTGTTGACGACCTCCTGGAGGAAGACGATGTCTGGCTTGTTCTCCTTGATCCACTCATAGACGGCCGCCTGCCGCACATCTAAATCCCTCTTGTCGCACCCGTCCACATTCCTGATTCAGTCACAAGCACAACACATTGTAGGTAGCTATGGCGGCTCTCTTCCTGCCTCCACGTACACACCAGCACACATACCAGGACAGAAGCTGCAACTAGGCTTTCGCTTCAGATGGAGCAGCTGCCACAGACGATGCGCACACGACACACCCCGGCCGTGCTGCAGGCGAAGATGTCAGCGACGTCCGGGACGTCTTGCGCGCCTCCTCTCCCTCATCCCCAGCTGCTGCTGCACTTGCCTCCTGTTGCAGCTGCTGCTGGGCTTCCCAACGCTTACGCTGCCGTTTGCGATACTGAAACACAAAACACCCGTGGTTTGTGTGTTTGCCATGCTGTTGTTTGCTTACGTTCATGATATCGCTGCTTCCCTCCTCTATCTCTAGCTGCTGCTGACCGGCCGCAGGCACCGGGGCAGCATGTGAGGGAAGGGGCTGATCTGCACAGCTTGTTGATGGGAGAGCCGCCTGTGCAAGAGGCGCAGGGTGGTCAGCCGTGCCTGCTGGCGCATCTGGCGGCGAAGATTGCGTCATGGATGGCGCGAAGTCCATATGTTCGTCGAAGGTCGACACACATATCAGCACCTTCTTCCTTCTCCTCCGAAGCGCCGCTCCACCGCCAGCAGACGCCATTTGGGATTGGATCGCGATTGCGAGCTTAAGGATGGGATCTCGAGGAGGGAAAAAAGTGCGAATTGATCTCGAAGAGGGCTCAACGTCCTGTTTTATCTTCCATTCACAACATGCGCCCATCAGCTTTCATGCGGTGGTGGTTGGCAGCCATCCTTCTGCTCGCCTCCTTGCCTGCATTCTCACCCGCCGTGAACAACAACCTGCGCAAGAACACACCCGCCCCTCACCACCTGCACAAGCTGTGGTGGCCATCGAAGAGGGAACGGCCGCCGCCGCCGCATAAGCGGGGCCCTGCAGCCAACGGAACGAGCGAGAGACGGCTTCATCGGGACAGTCACTTGGGGGGTGGGCGGGAAGGGGAGCATGTGACGTGCCGGTTCACCGATGAGGGGGGGCAGAAGGTGGGAGTGCACATGGTGCTCAAGGGAACCCAGGCATTTATCGTGCAGACCGACGGAGGGCACCAATACCTCCTCACACACTCGTCCTCAACGCAGGTCAAGATGAGTGACTGTGATGGCTGCATGTGCTTGAATTCAACATTTGTTTGCTGTGTTTGTGTCTTGTTCAGCGTCTGTTGGACTCCCTGTTTGACGTATTGATTGCCATTTCTTATGTCTCGATCCCGCTGCAACTGTTTCTCTTTCTCACCAAGTCAAAGCTGCGAGTCGGTGAGTGGACCTCTTCATCTCTGATTCGCACCTCACAGATCGCCTGTCGTCTCGTTTGCAGATTTCTTCCCCATGAGCCGTCAGCTTGGCAGCGCTGACTTCACTGCCAGACAGTCGCTGGAGCTCCTGTGTGTCGGATCGCTGTTTATCGTGAGACGCATCCATCCATTTCACGTCTCAGAGTCCTTTTTTCCCATCTTGTCTCCGTGTGCATGTTTTGCAGGCTTTCATCTTCTTCTGCGGCATGACGCATCTTCTGTCGTCCTTCCAAGAGGCTTGGCTGGTGAGCTCTCCTCTGCTGCCCGCCATACCTACCCTTGACGTACATGTCTCTGGTGGTGAATATGCAGGCGTCGACGCAGATGGTGTTGACCGTCATGAAGTGCATCACGTGCATCGTCAGTATCCTCACCGCTATCGTCCTCATCTGGATCATTCCCTTCACACTCAAGTTCCTCGAAAGTGTGGAGCTCACTCAAAGGGTCAGCACCAACCAACAGAGACACAGTCTCTGCAGCGACACCGTCTGTTCCTTGCAGGGATTCATTCGGACATTCGCACAGGAGGTAACCAAAGGCGACGATCAGAGCAGCAGAGCGCCCGAAAACCGTGCCAAAGGCCGATCGGTCGGCGGAGACGTGCGATACCGCAGCGCAGTCGGGGCGACTGAGATGGTGAAGAGAGAGCTGAGGCCGGAGAAAGCTGAGGCGGAAACGGAAGATGCGCGTCGAGGCGGCAAGGGGAAAGGGTCCGCTGAAGCACTCCGACCGCTCGGTGAGCGGACCCACTTCATGCCTTCTCGAATCGACACTGTTTGTGTCCCTTGGTACAGACCCTCCTCCCGGCAATAGGACCTCCACTCCCATCGCCCCAGCGGCGGCAGACTCCAAGGCGAACAGACAGACAGGGGGCGAGCTCAATATGACAAAGAACAGGACCAACATGGCTGACGCACTGATGCCGCTCGGCCTGACCAGGACGGAAAGCGATGCCACGGGGGGAAGAGCGCCTCCATTCGGTCAGAGCGGGTCGAAGAGGGCGCCTCTGACTGGAACATACGCGGGAAGGGCGCCTGCGCCCAAAGCGGAGGACCCAGAGGTAAGGCGATTTTCATGTGCAAGAATGCCTTGTCCTATATAATGAGATATCTTTCAGGAAAAGGCACGAAGGGAAGAAGAGAACAGGCAGAAAGCGCAAAAAGGAGCAGCCCTCTACTCAAGACTGGTGTGTAGGGAGACACAGACACCATCGCTTATCCTCTTGCACACGTATTCCTGTGCGCCGCGCCCTCAGGAAGACTGGTGGTACTCCAACATAAGCGCACCGCCCACCCAAAGCAGCGAAGACAAGGACAGCCCGTACCCCTCTCCAGGAGCAACCAAGCGCTCAACCCAGCCCACACAGTCGTCAGACGTCAACGTCCCCCCATCCACCGGCAGACCAATGCGCGAGACCGTCTTTGGCAAGGTCGGAGGCAGCCCGATCAAGAGCACTGCGCACCGTCGAGCCGACTGTGGCAGCGAGGGGGGTCCTGGCAGTGTGACCGGGTCACCTCTAGCGCCTCGGGAGGGGCCGCAGCAGCAGGTCTGCAACTACTCGACTCGTCTGCTGGGGTATTCGCTGCTGAAGCAAGGGGTGGTGTACGACGTGGGGGAGACAGGGGAGGAAAAGGCAGAAGAAGGCACTTTGTCGGATGAGGACGAGAGAGTGCTGCTCAAGTATTGGTGCTATGGGGACAGAGACGTGGTCCCTGCAGGGGTAAGCATCGTGCATGAATCATTCCCCGTCCAGAGTATTTGCATCTGTCTGTGTCGTTGACCTGCAGCATCTGTGTGACACGCCGGTGCCTCACAAGCCGGGTATCGTCACGCCCTCTCCCTGGCGGTCACTGCTGGCCGCCCTCATCCAGTGCAAGAGCGGCATGAACGACCTCACAATCATTGCCGTCACATGCCTGTCCAGCCCATGTAGGCACGCTGTTGAGAGAGGAGGTGTCTGCCGTTTCATGTCCACGATGGGGTGTCTTGCAGCGACGAGTCTGAACTACCGGAACGCCTTGGTAATCCTCAACAGTGTGGCAGTGCACCACTCACGGCAGGCCGAGCTCAAGAGCTATGTGCTCGAGGGCAGGAAAGTGGAACTGCAGACCAACAAGGCCAAGGCCAAGAGGCAAAGGGTCAGCCGCTGAATATACGGATGGAGACACACATGTTGGTTGATGATTTACGGCGTCGTGTCTGTTCCTCCCCTGCAGAAGAAGAGTGCAGACACGTCGGATGGACAAAGAGAAGACAGTGGGCAAAGGACAGCATCCATATTGCGCGCAACACTCCCATGACTTGTTTCTTCCTTTTGGGTCAGAGGATCCTGTGCCTTGCCCAGCCGACAAGGGCTTTGAGGAAGACGAGGAGGCGCCAAACAAACTCCCCGGTAAGACAGCCCTCGTAGGCACGCGACCTACAAAGCGCATCCATCACCTGGCTCCTTCCCTCCAGGCCGCATGTTGCTGAATTGGCTGGTGCCGGCTGGCTTCACAGTCGACGGCATGGACCTCAGACAAAAAGTACCAGAGACATCGACTACCGGCGGCCGACATGGTCCTTGCCCATCTGGCTGCTCTCCTTTCTATCTGTTGTCCTGTCAGGAGACAGCTTTCGTCAACGGCGTAATGCAGGGCGAAGGACGACTCGACAGAGCGTACGCACGGACACAAGCGACGGATACAAAAGCCTGACATGCATCGTATTGTCTGTCTCTTGTTGCCTCACTCAGTGCTTTTTGCGGCCGCGGCATCGGCACGTCGTTTTGGAAGGGTGAGGGGATGGCGGCCAACCCGCGGCACACGTCATGGAGCCACCAGCACCACCAACACGCTGACCAGTACCCAGAGGGATGCGTCGGGTGGCTATCTGAGGGGCTGATCCGTCAGTACGGCCCTGAGTGTGCCATCATGGTGGTGCAGTCGCTCAGACGGACGGCAGCCGCCTTCAACGGACTCATGTCTACCTGACGTATGTATATGGTCTGATGCTGTTTCTCGGCTGCTGCGCTGCTGTCTCCTGCTCGGCTTTTTGTTGCTCTGCCCAGCGGCGTGTGTGGGTGTGTTCTTGTTCCTGTACACGGGCGGGGCGGGGTGAGCGCATCGTGTCCTTAGTTACCTAGACATTAGTGCTTTGTGGGTCAGGTCAGGGGCAAGTGAAGATGGCTGGCTGCATATTTCGAAAGTCACTTATTTCGAGGGCAGACCCACTCGTGTCTCTCTTTTTCGGACCGCATCGATCACTTTGCACATCAATCAATCAGCGTATCGTATCGATATCAGCAATGTCAGTCAACATACACACGAGACGTTCAAATGAGTATCTGCACACGCCATGGCACTCTCCCCTATACTTCATTGCCTTGGTCGGAAGCACAGCACTGTCCAGTGACCCTGAAACAGACACACCCATCTTGGCACTTTGCCGACAAAAGACATGTGTGTATCCTCTTCTCTCTCTGACCTCAGTGGCTGCCCGCCAGCACGTGTACCGCGCCCGTAGCTCATCCGCAGAAAGAAGCACATTGCCCTGCACACCACATAGCAGCCACAAGCCATGGGGATGACAGCCATCCGCACCGCACCCACGCCCCCGTTGGTGCGTTTGGCCCGCCACTCAAGCGCACCTCACCTGGCAGTTCTGCGGCACCTGCCCCGCATACACCGTCAGGAAGATGACGTCCACCTCCTTGCGAAGCAGAAGCGACCGGCTGATCGACGCACCCGCCTCGATGCCCAGACGCACTGAGGGGCCCTCTGCCCTGTCGGCTGGTGTGGCGTCTTGTGCCGCTGCCGGCTGACGTCGGTTGGCTGGGGCTCTGGTGCTCTTGATGTGCTGCAGGTGGGAAATGGCCGAGTGGATGGCTGCATGGCTGCTGAGGGAGGGGAGATGGCCTGAATGGACAGACATGTGGAGCACATCAAGCGATGGATGGTCCTCATAGAACATGCAGCTGACTTACGTATGTCAGGTATGGTGTCAGTCTCTCCGCTGTTGTCGGCCTGACGTGCATATGCCGATGCTGCCCTCCTGCTCGGCGGTGATGAGATCGGAAGCACTTGCACCCAGGGCCGGCCATCGAGCGCCTTGCGCACGGCCGGCAGGCTGTCTGGCGGCACCAGCAGATTCACCTGACACGATGACGAGCGATGCTGAGTGCACACACACAGACACAGCCAGAGCGACAAAAAACATGCGCACACAGAGGATACGTGAGATCTCGTACTCAGCCCACCCACCTTGATTGTCTTGTGTTCGAGCATCGGCCGCCCCTTACTCCTGCCGGCCTGCCCATCCCGCAGCAGGTGGTCACCAGATGTCAAGACGTACACCTGCAGCGGACCGTCGTGTGTCTTGTCCACGATGTCTTCCCTGTCGGCCATAAGCTGCCGCCGGAAGTATGTGGTCTGCTTGTGCTCGAATGTGAGTGACGGCTCGGATCTGAGAATCTGGCCCGTCGTGAGGATGCCGTCACAACAGGCACGGAGGAAGTGCAGGTGCACCCTGACAAGACAAGAAAGACACACGCACACACCAGACACTCATTCACAGCGCATCATGATGTTGGATGAATCCCCGTGTACCGTGCTGTGCTGTGCGGTGTGGCGCCCACCAGTCCATCTCTGACTTAGGCGTGTGTTGGTTGATGCTGAGCACACGCAGTTGGTCATGGTGGTCACGATATACTGCCGCATAGTGAATCAGCAACGGCCTGCCACGCACGCACAGCACACACGAAGACACATGCAAAGATCCGCCGCCCGGCGCATGGCACTTGTAGCGCAGCGTACCCGTCCTTTCTGATCCATTGCATTCCCCCGTAGATCCGTCGTATCACCATGTCTACACCAACATTCACCAGCCGCCTCCTCCCTGTCGCTGCACTGCCCTCGATTGTCACCGGCTTGGACTCCTTCTCGAACCGGCTCCATTTCTCCTTCGTCCATCGCCGGCTGGGGAGCCGCTTCGACACAACTCGAGGAATGCGGGCCATTGCACTCATGGGCGGCCTTTGTTGCTGTGTGTCATCTGCAGGTGACACACAGCAAACGTCATGCGGCAAAGCCAAACGAACCGACAGATGATAGGCAAGACCGCAATGATAAGACTTCCTGACTGCAGATCTGTCTGATGAGACTTACCTGATGGTGTCAGAGGCTGCGTGTGTTGGGGTAGATCCCGCCGTGTAATGCAACTGCATGCTGAGAACCCTGAGCACTCCGAACTGTCCCTCCTTCTCGTGAACCGTCCCTCTGGCTCATCTGTTGCCTTAACGGGCAACGACAGCGATCCTCCACAGCCACTCTCATCTACCGACATGGGCGCAGCAAGTCGTTCTGGCTGTCGCTGCTGAGCCAAAGATCTGCCCAGATCTTCGTC